GAGAGGGAATGAGAGCGTATGAGAGTGGGTGAGAGGGAATGAGAGCGTATATGAGAGTGGGCGAGAGGGAATGAGAGCGTATGAGAGTGGGTGAGAGGGAATGAGAGCGTATAAGAATGGGTTAGAGGGAATGAGAGTGTATGAGAGTGGGTGAGAGGGAATGAGAGCGTAAGAGAGTGGGTGAGAGGGGAATGAGAGGGTATGAGAGTGGGTGAGAGGAAATGAGAGCGTATGAGTGTGGGTGGGAGGGAATGAGAGCGTATGAGATTGGGTGAGAGGGAATGAGAGGGTATGAGAGTGGTGAGAGGGAATGAGAGGGTATGAGAGTGGATGAGAGGAAATGAGAGCGTATGAGAGTGGGTGAGAGGGAATGAGAGCGTATGAGAGTGGTTGAGAGGGAATGAGAGCGTATGAGAGTGGGTGAGAGGGAATGAGAGCGTATGAGAGTGGGTGAGAGGGGAATGAGAGCGTATGAGAGTGGGTGTGGGGGAATGAGAGCGTATGAGAGTGGGCGAGAGGGAATGAGAGCGTATGAGAGTGGGTGAGAGGGAATGAGAGCGTATCAGAATGGGTTAGAGGGAATGAGAGTGTATGAGAGTGGGTGAGAGGGAATGAGAGCGTAAGAGAGTGGGTGAGAGGAATGAGAGGGTATGAGAGTGGGTGAGAGGGAATGAGAGCGTATGAGTGTGGGTGGGAGGGATGAGAGCGTCTGAGATTGGGTGAGAGGGAATGAGAGGGATGAGAGTGGGTGAGAGGGACGGAGAGCGTATGAGATTGGGGGTGAGAGGGAAAGAGAGCGTGAGAGATGGGTGAGAGGGAATGAGAGGGGGAGAGTGGATGAGAGGAAATGAGAGCGTATGAGAGTGGGTGAGAGGGAATGAGAGCGTATGAGAGTGGTTGAGAGGGAATGAGAGCGTATGAGAGTGGATGAGACGGAATGAGAGCGTATGAGAGTGGGTTAGAGGGAATGAGAGCGTATGAGATGGGTGAGAGGGAATGAGAGCGTGAGAGAGTGGGTGAGAGGGAATGAGAGGGTGAGAGAGTGGGTGAGAGGGAATGAGAGCGTATGAGAGTGGGTGAGAGGGAATGAGAGCGTATGAGAGTGGTTGAGAGGGAATGAGAGCGTTTGAGAGTGGGTGAGAGGGAATGAGAGCGTATGAGAGTGGGTTAGAGGGAATGAGAGCATATGAGAGTGGGTGAGAGGGAATGAGAGCGTATGAGAGTGGGTGAGAGGGAATAAGAGCGTATGAGAGTGGGTGAGAGGGAATGAGAGCGTATGAGAGTGGGTGAGAGAGGGAATGAGAGCGTATGAGAGTGCGAGAGGGAATGAGAGCGTATGAGAGTGGGTGAGAGGGAATGAGAGCGTATGAGAGCGTATGAGAGTGGTTGAGAGGGAATGAGAGTGTATGAGAGTGGGTGAGAGGGAATGAGAGGGTATGAGAGGGTGAGAGTGGATGAGAGGAATGAGAGCGTATATGAGAGTGGGTGAGAGGGCATGAGAGCGTATGAGAGTGGTTGAGAGGGAATGAGAGCGTATGAGAGTGGATGGAGAGGGAATGAGAGCGTATGAGAGTGGGTTAGAGGGAATGAGAGCGTATGAGAGTGGGTGAGAGGGAATGAGGGGGGGAGAGAGTGGGGGGGGTGAGAGAAGTGGGTGAGAGGGAATGAGAGCGTATGAGAGTGGGTGAGAGGGAATGAGAGCGTATGAGAGTGGGTGAGAGGGAATGAGAGCGTATGAGAGTGGGTGAGAGGGAATGAGAGCGTATGAGAGTGGGTGAGAGGGAATGAGAGCGTATGAGAGTGGGCGAGAGGGAATGAGAGCGTATGAGAGTGGGTGAGAGGGAATGAGAGCGTATGAGAATGGGTAGAGGGAATGAGAGTGTATGAGAGTGGGTGAGAGGGAATGAGAGCGTAAGAGAGTGTGTGAGAGGGAATGAGAGGGTATGAGAGTGGGTGAGAGGGAATGAGAGCGTATGAGAGTGGGGTGGGAGGGAATGAGAGCGATGAGCGTATGAGATTGGGTGAGAGGGAATGAGAGTATGAGAGTGGGTGAGAGGGACGGAGAGCGTATGAGAGTGGGTGAGAGGGAAAGAGAGCGTGAGAGAGTGGGTGAGAGGGAATGAGAGGGTATGAGAGTGGATGAGAGGAATGAGAGCGTATGAGAGTGGGTGAGAGGGAATGAGAGCGTATGAGAGTGGTTGAGAGGGAATGAGAGCGTATGAGAGTGGGTGAGAGGGAATGAGAGCGTATGAGAGTGGGTGAGAGGGAATGAGAGCGTATGAGAGTGGGTGAGAGGGAATGAGAGCGTATGAGAGTGGTTGAGAGGGAATGAGAGCGTATGAGAGTGGATGAGAGGGAATGAGAGCGTATGAGAGTGGGTTAGAGGGAATGAGAGCGTATGAGAGTGGGTGAGAGGGAATGAGAGCGTAAGAGAGTGGGTGAGAGGGAATGAGAGCGTGAGAGAGTGGGTGAGAGGGAATGAGAGCGTATGAGAGTGGGTGAGAGGGAATGAGAGCGTATGAGAGTGGGTGAGAGGAATGAGAGCGTATGAGAGTGGGTGAGAGGAATGAGAGCGGTTTGAGAGTGGGTGAGGAGTGGAATGAGAGCGTATGAGAGTTGGTTAGAGGGAATGAGAGCATATGAGAGTGGGTGAGAGGGAATGAGAGCGTATGAGGAGTGGGTGAGAGGGAATAAGAGCGTATGAGAGTGGTGAGAGGGAATGAGAGCGTATGAGAGTGGGTTGAGAGGAATGAGAGCGTATGAGAGTGGGCGAGAGGGAATGAGAGCGTATGAGAGTGGGTGAGAGGGAATGAGAGCGTATGAGAATGGGTTAGAGGGAATGAGAGTGTATGAGAGTGGGTGAGAGGGAATGAGAGCGTATGAGAGTGGGTGAGAGGGAATGAGAGGGTATGAGAGTGGGTGAGAGGGAATGAGAGCGTATGAGTGTGGGTGAGAGGGAATGAGAGCGTATGAGATTGGGTGAGAGGGAATGAGAGGGTATGAGAGTGGGTGAGAGGGAACTGAGAGTGTTATGAGCGATGAGTGGGTGAGGGATGATTAGTGTTATGACAGTGGTTGAGAATGAGGAGCGCTATGAGAGTGGGTGAGAGGGAATGAGAGCGTCTGAGAGTGGTTGAGAGGAATGAGAGCGTATGAGAGTGGGTGAGAGGGAATGAGAGCGTATGAGAGTGGGTGAGAGGGAATGAGAGCGTATAGAGAGTGGGTGTGGGGGAATGAGAGCGTTATGAGAGTGGGCGAGAGGGAATGAGAGCGTAATTGACGAGGGGTGAGAGGGAATGAGAGCGTATCAGAATGGGTTAGAGGGAATGAGAGTGTATGAGAGTGGGTGAGAGGGAATGAGAGCGAAGAGAGTGGGTGAGAGGGAATGAGAAGGGGTATGAGAGTGGTGAGAGGGAATGAGAGCGTCTCATGAAGTGCTGGGTGGGAGGGAGTGAGAGCGTCTGAGATTGGGTGAGAGGGAATGATTGAGGGTATGAGAGTGGGTGAGAGGGACGGAGAGCGTATGAGATTGGGTGAGAGGGAAAGAGAGCGTGAGAGAGTGGGTGAGAGGGAATGAGAGGGTGAGAGTGGGATGAGAGGAAATGAGAGCGTATGCGAGTGGGTGAGAGGAATGAGAGCGTATGAGACGTGGTTGAGAGGGAATGAGAGCGTATGAGAGTGGATGAGACGGAATGAGAGCGTATGAGAGTGGGTTAGAGGGAATGAGAGCGTATGAGAGTGGGTGAGAGGGAATGAGAGCGTGAGAGAGTGGGTGAGAGGGAATGAGAGCGTGAGAGAGTGGGTGAGAGGGAATGAGAGCGTATGAGAGTGGGTGAGAGGGAATGAGAGCGTATGAGAGTGGTGTGAGAGGGAATGAGAGCGTTTGAGAGTGGGTGAGAGGAATGAGAGGTATGAGAGTGGGTTAGAGGGAATGAGAGCATATGAGAGTGGGTGAGAGGGAATGAGAGCGTATGAGAGTGGGTGAGAGGGAATAAGGAGCGTATGAGAGTGGGTGAGAGGGAATGAGAGCGTATGAGAGTGGAGTGAGAGGGAATGAGAGCGTATGAGAGTGGGCGAGAGGGAATGAGAGCGTATGAGAGTGGGTGAGAGGGAATGAGAGCGTATGAGAATGGGTTAGAGGGAATGAGAGCGTATGAGAGTGGGTGAGAGGGAATGAGAGCGTATGAGAGTGGATGAGAGGAGAATGAGAGCGTATGAGAGTGGGTGAGAGGGCATGAGAGCGTATGAGAGTGGGTGAGAGGGAATGAGAGCGTATGAGAGTGGATGAGAGGGAATGAGAGCGTATGAGAGTGGGTTAGAGGGAATGAGAGCGTATGAGAGTGGGTGAGAGGGAATGAGAGCGTGAGAGAGTGGGTGAGAGGGAATGAGAGCGTATGAGAGTGGGTGAGAGGGAATGAGAGCGTATGAGAGTGGGTGAGAGGGAATGAGAGCGTATGAGAGTGGGTGAGAGGGAACGAGAGCGTATGAGAGTGGGTGAGAGGGAATGAGAGCGTATGAGAGTGGGTGAGAGGGAATGAGAGCGTATGAGAGTGGGTGAGAGGGAATGAGAGCGTATGAGAATGGGGTAGAGGGAATGAGAGTGTATGAGAGTGGGTGAGAGGGAATGAGAGCGTATGAGAGTGGGTGAGAGGGAATGAGAGCGTATGAGAGTGGGTGAGAGGGAATGAGAGCGTATGAGAGTGGGTGAGAGGGAATGAGAGCGTATGAGATTGGGTGAGAGGGAATGAGAGGGTATGAGAGTGGGTGAGAGGGACGGAGAGCGTATGAGATTGGGTGAGAGGGAAAGAGAGCGTGAGAGAGTGGGTGAGAGGGAATGAGAGGGTATGAGAGTGGGTGAGAGGGAATGAGAGCGTATGAGAGTGGGTGAGAGGGAATGAGAGCGTATGAGAGTGGTTGAGAGGGAATGAGAGCGTATGAGAGTGGGTGAGAGGGACGGAGAGCGTATGAGAGTGGGTGAGAGGGAATGAGAGCGTATGAGAGTGGGTGAGGGGGAATGAGAGCGGTATGAGAGTGGGTGAGAGGGAATGAGAGCGTATGAGAGTGGGTGAGAGGGAATGAGAGCGTATGAGAATGGTTGAGAGGGAATGAGAGCGTATGAGAGTGGGTGAGAGGGAATGAGAGCGTATGAGAGTGGGTTAGAGGGAATGAGAGCGTATGAGAGTGGGTGAGAGGGAATGAGAGCGTATGAGTGTGGGTGAGAGGGAATGAGAGCGTCTGAGATTGGGTGAGAGGGAATGAGAGGGTATGAGAGTGGGTGAGAGGGACGGAGAGCGTATGAGAGTGGGTGAGAGGGAATGAGAGCGTGAGAGAGTGGGTGAGAGGGAATGAGAGGGTATGAGAGTGGGTGAGAGGAAATGAGAGCGTATGAGAGTGGGTGAGAGGGAATGAGAGCGTATGAGAGTGGTGAGAGGGAATGAGAGCGTATGAGAGTGGTGAGAGGGAATGAGAGCGTATGAGAGTGGGTTAGAGGGAATGAGAGCGTATGAGAGTGGGTGAGAGGGAATGAGAGCGTGAGAGAGTGGGTGAGAGGGAATGAGAGCGTGAGAGAGTGGGTGAGAGGGAATGAGAGCGTATGAGAGTGGGTGAGAGGGAATGAGAGCGTATGAGAGTGGGTGAGAGGGAATGAGAGCGTTTGAGAGTGGGTGAGAGGGAATGAGAGCTGTATGAGAGTGGGTTAGAGGGAATGAGAGCATATGAGAGTGGGTGAGAGGGAATGAGAGCGTATGAGAGTGGGTGAGAGGGAATAAGAGCGTATGAGAGTGGGTGAGAGGGAATGAGAGCGTATGAGAGTGGGTGAGAGGGAATGAGAGCGTATGAGAGTGGGCGAGAGGGAATGAGAGCGTATGAGAGTGGGTGAGAGGAATGAGAGCGTATGAGAATGGGTTAGAGGGAATGAGAGTGTATGAGAGTGGGTGAGAGGGAATGAGAGCGTAAGAGAGTGGGTGAGAGGGAATGAGAGGGTATGAGAGTGGGTGAGAGGGAATGAGAGCGTATGAGTGTGGGTGGGAGGGAATGAGAGCGTATGAGATTGGGTGAGAGGGAATGAGAGGGTATGAGAGTGGGTGAGAGGGACGGAGAGCGTGAGAGAGTGGGTGAGAGGGAATGAGAGCGTATGAGAGTGGGTGAGAGGGAATGAGAGTGTATGACAGTGGTTGAGAGGGAATGAGAGCGTGAGAGAGTGGGTGAGAAGGAATGAGAGCGTGAGAGAGTGGGTGAGAGGGAATGAGAGTGTGTGAGAGGGGATGAGAGGGGATGAGAGGGGATGGGAGGGGTGGAGAGCGGATGAGAGTGGATGAGAGTGGATGAGAGCGTATGAGAGAGTATGAGAGAGGTTGAGAGGGAATGAGAGAGTATGAGAGTGGGTGAGAGGGAATGAGAGCGTATGAGTGTGGGTGAGAGGGAATGAGAGCGTATGAGTGTGGGTGAGAGGGAATGAGAGCGTATGAGTGTGGGTGAGAGGGAATGAGAGCGTATGAGAGTGGGTGAGAGAAAATGAGAGCGTATGAGAGTGGGTGAGAGGGAATGAGAGCGTATGAGAGTGGGTGAGAGGAAATGAGAGCGTATGAGAGTGGTTGAGAGGGAATGAGAGCGTTATATGAGAGTGGGGGCGAGGGAATGAGCGGAGTATGAGAGTGGGTGATGAGGGAATGAGAGCGTATGAGAGTGGTTGAGAGGAATGAAGAGCGTATGAGAGGGGTTAGATGGAAGGAGGAGCGTCATGAGAATGGGTTCGAGGGATAATGAGAGGCGTATGAGATTGGTGAGAGGAATGAGAGCATGACGAGAGTGGCGTAGAGAGGGAATGAGAGCGTATGAGAGTAGGGTGAGAGTTGAATGAGAGGGTTATGAGATGGGGTGAGAGGTAATGAGAGCGTATGAGAGTGGGTGAGAGGAATGAGAGCGTATGAGAGTGGGGTAGAGGGATATGAGAGTTTATGAGAATGGGTGCGAGGGAATGAGAGCGTAAGAGAGTGGTGTTGCGAGGGAATGATGAGGGTATGAGAGGTGGGTGAGGAGGGAATGAGAGCGTATGAGTGTGGGTGGGAGAGAATGAGAGCGTATGAGAGTGGGTGAGAAGGAATGAGAGCGAACGAGAGTGGGTGAGAGGGAAAGAGAGGGTATGACAGTGGGTGAGAGGGAATGAGAGCGGAGTGAGAGAGTGGGTGAGAGGGAATGAGAGTGTGAGAGAGTGGGTGAGAGGGAATGAGAGGGTATGAGAGTTGTTGAGAGGAAATGAGAGCGTATGAGAGTGGGTGAGAGGGAATGAGGAGCGTATGAGAGTGGTGAGAGGGAATGAGAGCGTGTGAGAGGGATGAGAGGGAATGAGAGCGTATGAGAGTGGGTTAGAGGGAATGAGAGCATATGAGAGTGGGTGAGAGGAATGAGAGCGTTGAGAGATTGGGTGAGAGGGAATGAGAGCGTATGAGAGGGGTGAGAGGGAAGAGAGCATATGAGAGTGGGTGAGAGGGAATGAGAGCGTATGAGAGTGGTGAGAGGGAATGTAGAGCGTATGGAGTTGGGAGTACGCATCTCATCGTCGATGGCGGGCCGGTGGACATCCGAACGTGCTTTCCGTCCCGGGATTGAAGGTGAATCTACTCTCCATCACTCAACTCGCAAAGAAGGACGTGAAGGTCACCATCGATGGCAGCGAAGATGAACCTTCTTTTGGAAGGGGAAGCAATTCGCGCAAGGCGTTCTCAACGGACAACTCTACCAACTCAAGACGCATCCGACAACGGCCTCATCCAACGTGGCTCAAGGCTCCAAGGCGACTCTCAAGAGGTGGCATAATCGGCTTGCGCACGCCAACTACGACTCCGTCAAGGAGTTGGCCAAGAAAGGACTTGCGAAAGGATTTGACGTGATCTCCGGCAATGACGAGAAGGGCGTAGTGCGCGACGTGTGTCGAAGGAAAAATGGATCGCAAGCCATTTGGTAGCCGTACCTCACCCCTCGCTAAGGACCCGCTTGCGCTTGCTCACATGGATGTGTGTGGACCGATGCGGCATGCATCAAAGGGAGGAGCGCGGTTCCTCTTAGTAATGCTCGACGACGCGACGCGGATGTGTTGGACCCGACTCTTGAAGTCTAAGGGAGATGCGGCCAAGGCAAATTCAAGAGTGGGCGCTCGACGTTTGCGACGACGGCAAGAATCGGATCAAGTGCATTCGCACCGACGGTGGCGGCGAATTCGTGAGCAACGAGCTTGAAAAATGGATGAAAAGCAAGGGCATTAAGCACGGCGTCACGACACCCTACACACCCCAACAAAATGGAGCGGCGGAGCGGCTCAATCGCACATTGATGGAGGCCGTTCGTTCACTTCTTCAACACTCCAAGTTTGGGAACGAGTGGTGGGGAGAGGCGAGTGCGCTAGCGGCATGGATTCGTAATCGTGTGCCAACAAAGGTGCTACCGGGAACGACTCCGTTCGAAGCATGGACCGGAACGAAGCCGAACCTCTACCGCCTACGCACCTTTGGGTGCCTTTGCTACTACCAGTGTACCGGATCCACTTCGCCACAAGTTGCAACCGAAAGCTCGTGCGGCGATCTACTTGGGAATTGCGGCGAACGAGCGTGCATGGCGAGTGTGTCCGTCGGCGGGTGTGCCTGCATCCGCCCCGACGTCGGCCCATACTTGGCCATCCACACCTCCAGCGACAGCGTCTCGTAGAAGATCACCTCGACCGACGTGACCACCTTGCTGTCTGTCAGGTCGAGCACCTCCCAGCCCTTACTCTCCGACGACACACCCAGGTGAAGTCCCCAGCGAGCCTTCGGCGCCAGCTTCCCACCGCGCTGCTGCTCGGGAACCATAAACTACACCATGCAGCCCCACACCCGCGCCAGCGTAAGGTCGGGCTTCTGCCCGGTCAACAGCTGGTACGGAGTCGTTCCCGGTGGCGTCGTCGACCGCTCCAAGCAGTTGCGCACCCAGACCGCTTGTCCGTAGAGCAAGGTGCCACCAGTGGTGCTGCACGCTCATGTGCAGCAGCATCGTCCGCACGGACTCGACGACCGTGCGCATCTCCCGCTCAGCCATGCCATTCTGCTGCGGAGTTGTAGGGGCACGTCAGGTCGTGGACGATGCCCTTCCCGTCGACGAAGTCGGTGAACGCCTTCCCGAGGAACTCCCCTCCTCGATCGGAGCGAAGCGACAAGCACCGACTTCTTCGTCTGCCGTTCCACTAGCGCCAGCCACCGCTGAAACTCCCGCAGCACATCGCTCTTCCTAGCGACCGGCATTGTCCATACAAATTGAGTATGGGCGATCCTTCAGCAGCAGGAAGTACAAGCTGCCATCCTGGCAGCTACTCGAAATGGCCCGCACAAGTCAATGTGCACGACAGCTAGCGCCTCCGCTGCGTCCTGAGCCCTTGGCAGGGAAGGTGTGCCGCGCCAGCTTTCCTCCGGCGCACGAGACACACGGCGGGTCTGCTCCGGTCGACAACGTGATGTCGAGCCCAAGTAGCAACATCATGCTTTACCGAGCTCTTGATCGTGTCGACGCTGACGTGTGCGAGCCGCGCATGCATCCTGTCGGGGGTCGTCTTCGTCGCTGAGATGATCGTCCGCAGAGCCACCACCTCGGTCGACGGCGACTGCGTCGAGCAGGGGCGAAGGTCGGTGCAGAGTACCCGTCCGGTGTAGCGTGCTCGACCGAGCACCTCCCCATTCGCGGCGACGAGCAGTATCTCATCGCCATCGCCCTGCAGCAGCACTCCGCTCTCCTTCAGCTGGCCAGCAGACAACAGGTTTGCCTGTACGCCCGGAAGTAGAGTACGTCGGGGGATGAGGACCCGCTTCCCGGCCTCCCCTTGCAGAGCGACGTTCCGCGACCCTTGACAGGCTGCAATGCCCCTTTGAACCCACGCACGTGCTTCACCCCGTCGCTCGGCCCCATGTCGACGAAGACCGACTTCGTCCCCATCAGGTGGTGGGAGCACCCGCTGTCGAGCAACACCGCCATCGGGTTGGCCTGCACAGCTGCCGCCACTGCCTGGAAGTCCTCGCCGGCCTCCGGCGCCAGCGAGACCGTCGGCTCCACCACGCCGACCATCGAGCACGACGCCTCCCCGTCGCCTCGGCTCTTGCCGCTGGAGCTGTCAACGTCTTTCGTCGACGACGTCTTCTTCGACGCTTGCTTCTCCTTGCGCGGCTTCTCAACTCGACGGGGGCGACGACTGGCCGATCGTCCGCGGCCTCCCTTGTTGTCGTCCTCGTCACTGTCATCGCGGTCGGGGCACTCAAAGGAGAGATGGTCGGGATCGCCGCAGATCCAGCACTCGCGCCGTCGACCACCACCTCGTCGACCCTTGTCCCGCGTCGACCTCTTCTCGTCGACGTCCTTCGTCGACCGCCCACCTCCGCTACCACTTCCGCCCGCTTCCCGCGCTGCCCTTGCTGCTGATTCAGCTTCGTCGATGCAACGTAGTTCGCCTGCGGAAGAAGCTCTGTGGGCTGTTCGGCCTCCTGCATCGCCTCATCTTGAAGAATGTAGCTGGTGATGGAGTCCTCGTCGAGGGACTCACGCGTGCCGGGCACCATCATCATCCTCTTCATGAGATTGTAGCTGCGCGGCAAGCCCTTGACGATGTGGGTGATGTAGGACGCCGTCGAGTATTCGGCGCCCGCCATTCGCATCTCAGCCAGGATCCGTCAAGCACGGTTGCAGTAATCCGTCGCTGACTCCTGCTCGCCCATCCGAATGTGAGTCATCTTCTTCTCTAGCTGTCCGATGTACAGGTCGTCCCTGACCTGGTACGTCGATATGATGAAGCGCCATGCCTGGTGACCAGCATCCAGTCGCTCTCGACAGCTCCTGAGCACCAGCTGCACCACCGGCGAGCAGCACCTCGAGATGACCATGAAGGTGAGCAGGTGAGCAGAACGAAACTCCCCGCGCAGCCCGATATCCTCCTCGGGCGGAATTGGCACAGTGCCGTCGGCGAAGCCCTTCAGCCCGGCGACCTCCAGCTGAGGTTCGATCGACTCCCTCCAGGTGATGAGGTCCCGTCGACCTTGCAGCGGAGCGACGGTTATTCGATCCGGCGAAAACTTGAAGTAGCCATACGCCGGTGCAATCCCGCCCGCCGTCACATGCGTCGTCGCCGAGAGCCCGCCACCACTTCGTAGAGGAGAGCGACGTCGAACATCGACGTCGGCGTGCGAGCTGCCTGCAGCCGCCGTCGACCGCTGCACTCGCGCCTGGATTCCGTCGACACCACCGTCGACCTTGATCACTCCTCTCTGCCTCGTGCCTTCGTTGCCGCTGACTCGTGCACCACCGTCGACCTCGTCGTCGACGCCACCTTCGTTGCGCACCGGTCGAGGACAAGTAGGACGGGAAGGGTGTTCAGTCGCCCACTGCGACCGGATGCCCAACTCGGCGATCACCAAGGGGATCGTCCCGTACTCGCCATCCGCGTGGCGTCTCCTCGCGTCAGCCAAACGTGCCTCCAAGGTGTCCGTTACACCCGCATCAACCACGGGTCGACCATGGCGACTATCGCTACTGCCGGCCTACGAACGACTTAGTAGGTGCAAAAGTCGGCTCCTATCTGAAGGTCGCGTGTTCGATCCACGCTCACCGCACCATGCGGAGATACACTCTACAACGGTTGTGAGCTGGACTACAGGGTTGGCACGAACTACTAGAGGTGATCGTAGCTTTGCTTGGTTCCTTAGTGCTTGCACATTCACGGGAGAAATTGGCAAGAGTTTCCACTAGCAAAGTTGAGAATCCCAGAATAATCCAAGAAGGAATGACAACAATGACTATATCAGGCACCTAGCAACCCTGCAGCTAGCCTGGTCGACCGCCAACGCAGCTCGGTCGACCGCCTGCCAGCATTGCGTAGAGGAGCCGCGCCAGCACTACAGAAGGGCGACCTGCCAACAAAGCAGGTCGACGGCGTGCCCCGTAGAACACAGGAGTGCGCGCGCTCGCAGGTGTGCGCAGACGATTGGCCCGACTTGCCTCGTTGGGCATCCGTCGGCTGTTGTCTGCGCCTGACGAGCCACATCGACTTCGGGATACCAGTCCGAAGTCGTCTGCGCCATCGCGATCTCGACGACGTTCGCGAGCCTTCGCAGAACTCGTCGAGCAGGTTACCCCGGTCGACCTGGTCGACCCCTGGTGCTCTGGTCGACCCCCAGGTGCCTCCGGTCGACCACTGGGTCCCTCTGGTCGACCACCAGGCGCTCCTGGTCGACCACAACTCCCGTCGAGCTACCCCCTGGTCGATGGACCCCTTCCGTCGACCAGAACTGCTCTGTCGACCTCCCGGTCGAACCGTAGGTCGACGGGATGCTCCCCAGACCTCCCGGTCGAGTTGCAGTTCAGCGGGATGCTCCGTAGACCTCCGCGTCGAACTGTAGGTCGACGGACTGCTTCGTCGACCTCCCGGACGGCCCACCCGTCGCACTGACCAGTCAGTTGCAGCTGTCGAGCTCCTTGGTCGACAGCAACACCACAGCGGTCCGCTGCAGCTCGACGTAACCTGTCGAGCAGCTATCCCACTG